TTTTAAAATCTGTTTCATAACCTCTTACCTGTTGGCTGTTATGACCTCCCATAGGCTCTGCAATGCAGAAGTATTTATAGAGATTCTTGATGAGTGTCCCATAAAGACTGGATCTTCCTCTGTCACTCTTGTTAAAGTTATTATTTGTATTATGACAACGCTTAAATATTCTAGTCATAAACTAGCTCCAGTGGCATCTATAGATTTTAAATATAATTATCCCCATGTTCCAGGAGGCAAAAATGAGACAATGAGAAGTGAAATGATAGGCCTAAATATAGACATGTTTAGAAGCTGAGATGGAAAGAGCATCCAGAAATCCTGTGTTTTAATATTAGATTTGGTACTGTGTTACAGATGGATATGAAGTACTTTGTGAGAATGATAATTAGGTTCTTTGTGTTACTCATTTCATTGTCTGGTATTTGTGCTGTGGAGTGATTTATGTTCACATCCACTTAATACTTTTAAAAGAAATTCCAATGGTGCATTAGAATAATGAATTTTCCTTTACAAATAATTGGCTTTGTGCTGCTTCATTTCGTTGTGGTCCAGAAATGTGGAGGGGTGAAAACACAGATCTTACATCCTTTCTTTTATTTCTGCTGTGCATTTGGTCCATAACATTGAGTCGTGCATGAGCGCACTATTGCTCTCCCCCAGATAAAATGGGGAAGAGTCTATCTACATGTGCATCTCTGTGTCTACTACTTTGTATGAGGATGTATTGAATACTTATGGTGAGATGGTAATGATAGGAGTATGATGTCTACCTAGGAACTTATATTTTTAAATGCGAATGATGGATTGTGAATAAATTTTGAATATTTACTAATGTGGATATTTACTTAAATATACACATCAGAGCAAAACTTATAAAAGTATAGCAGTTTCTTTCCTTTGCTTACATTATAGCTAAAGGTGTTTATGATTAGCAGCTTTTTGGTCTACAAGCTGACTTCGTTTTCAGTCTTTCCTGTGGTTTTCCACAGGGAAATGTCAGTGAGCGGAACTTGTGGTGATAAATTGGTAATGCCATTCATTAGCTTGGGACTCAAAAGGACCAGGTTGCAGCCCTTAAGAATTGTGCTGCTTTGCAAGTTTCTCCTTCAGATCTGTGTTCCATAACCATCTTGAGACATCATATCAAACTGTGTCAGAAAGCAGTGATCGTTATCTGAATCAAAAGTATACTTCCATTCAAAATGGAAGTATACTGTTTATATCCTAACGTATTTACCATCTGATGGATGCATATGCTCCCCTAGAAATGAATTAAATACCTTAGTTTAATTCCTATTGCACAGCAATCTGTATTGCAGAAGTTGCTGTTGTTGTTGACTACCTCAGCAGGAGCAGTAAGGTCTGAATGGTACTTGTTTCTCCACCAGCTTTCTTCTTGCCAGAAGCCGAATCCTGTTTGCTGAAGCTGATTGAAAGTTTCCATTGGTTTCAGAGGAGGTTGTGTCAAACTGCAGGATGGTGTTTATAGCCAAGAACTGAGGCAGTGTTATTTTTTAGTTATTTAGTTATTCAGCTATTTAGAAAAGTTTACTTTTCTTCACAAGCCTTACTGTTAGCACCTTTCTATGCGAGTTAGCAGAGGAGATACACTTGTAAGATCACAGCACATCTGCCTTAATGATGTGCCTTCCAAGGACAGGGCACTTTCTGAATTGTGCTGGTGCCCTGCAGGCCTTATAGTGGTCTTTTTTTAAAATCTGTTTCATAACCTCTTACCTGTTGGCTGTTATGACCTCCCATAGGCTCTGCAATGCAGAAGTATTTATAGAGATTCTTGATGAGTGTCCCATAAAGACTGGATCTTCCTCTGTCACTCTTGTTAAAGTTATTATTTGTATTATGACAACGCTTAAATATTCTAGTCATAAACTAGCTCCAGTGGCATCTATAGATTTTAAATATAATTATCCCCATGTTCCAGGAGGCAAAAATGAGACAATGAGAAGTGAAATGATAGGCCTAAATATAGACATGTTTAGAAGCTGAGATGGAAAGAGCATCCAGAAATCCTGTGTTTTAATATTAGATTTGGTACTGTGTTACAGATGGATATGAAGTACTTTGTGAGAATGATAATTAGGTTCTTTGTGTTACTCATTTCATTGTCTGGTATTTGTGCTGTGGAGTGATTTATGTTCACATCCACTTAATACTTTTAAAAGAAATTCCAATGGTGCATTAGAATAATGAATTTTCCTTTACAAATAATTGGCTTTGTGCTGCTTCATTTCGTTGTGGTCCAGAAATGTGGAGGGGTGAAAACACAGATCTTACATCCTTTCTTTTATTTCTGCTGTGCATTTGGTCCATAACATTGAGTCGTGCATGAGCGCACTATTGCTCTCCCCCAGATAAAATGGGGAAGAGTCTATCTACATGTGCATCTCTGTGTCTACTACTTTGTATGAGGATGTATTGAATACTTATGGTGAGATGGTAATGATAGGAGTATGATGTCTACCTAGGAACTTATATTTTTAAATGCGAATGATGGATTGTGAATAAATTTTGAATATTTACTAATGTGGATATTTACTTAAATATACACATCAGAGCAAAACTTATAAAAGTATAGCAGTTTCTTTCCTTTGCTTACATTATAGCTAAAGGTGTTTATGATTAGCAGCTTTTTGGTCTACAAGCTGACTTCGTTTTCAGTCTTTCCTGTGGTTTTCCACAGGGAAATGTCAGTGAGCGGAACTTGTGGTGATAAATTGGTAATGCCATTCATTAGCTTGGGACTCAAAAGGACCAGGTTGCAGCCCTTAAGAATTGTGCTGCTTTGCAAGTTTCTCCTTCAGATCTGTGTTCCATAACCATCTTGAGACATCATATCAAACTGTGTCAGAAAGCAGTGATCGTTATCTGAATCAAAAGTATACTTCCATTCAAAATGGAAGTATACTGTTTATATCCTAACATATTTACCATCTGATGGATGCATATGCTCCCCTAGAAATGAATTAAATACCTTAGTTTAATTCCTATTGCACAGCAATCTGTATTGCAGAAGTTGCTGTTGTTGTTGACTACCTCAGCAGGAGCAGTAAGGTCTGAATGGTACTTGTTTCTCCACCAGCTTTCTTCTTGCCAGAAGCCGAATCCTGTTTGCTGAAGCTGATTGAAAGTTTCCATTGGTTTCAGAGGAGGTTGTGTCAAACTGCAGGATGGTGTTTATAGCCAAGAACTGAGGCAGTGTTATTTTTTAGTTATTTAGTTATTCAGCTATTTAGAAAAGTTTACTTTTCTTCACAAGCCTTACTGTTAGCACCTTTCTATGCTATATGCTTTCAATTGTCTCACCTCCTTTTAGTTTTGGTCTCTTAGGTAAATCACCTGAATATAAACTGTGGTTGGCTTTGCCAGCTGGGCTTTGTTTTGCTTCTTTGCATGCATCCTCTTCAGAAACTGTGATTGGCAGTGATCCTTTATTTATTTATGTATAGATGAAAATATCACTCCAAGAAAAAGGTGAGGAGACATAAATGACCTGTTTGTTATTCTGTCAAAAGCATAGATAGATTTAATTTACACCAGGAACTGTGACTGGAAAGTGAGTCTGAGAGTCTGCTGCTTCCTTTGTTTCCTTTCTGATTTCACAGCAGATTTTTTGGTTTTGGTTTTGGTTTTTTTTAAGCTCTGTATAATTTTTTGCCATGGGCTTCCTTCCCTGTTATTACCAGCTGGCCCACTGATCAGGCACCAGGGTTGTGTTATTGCTAAGTTTGGGGATTCTGTTGGAATCGGAAATCAAATACGTGATAATGAATGTAATATGCTTTTAAGTACTGTGATGTTCAGTGGGTAGATGTACATCATAAAGACCTTTCTTGTCTGCAATTTGTGATGAAGATGAATCATTCTTTGGGGAAAGGTTATAGTCACGTTGTAAATAGCATTCTAAAAAATGGAAAAAAAAAATTAAAATCCAGCAGGATAAATAACTACCATCTGGAATCTGAACTATGTAATTGTATCATGATTCGTCATCCCCATAAGAGAAGCTTTTGAGAATGTTTAGGTTGAAGGCATAGACAGATATCGAAATGTGTTAACTACTGTCAGTACTGAAATTAGATGAAAGTAAAAAAAAAAATATGTTCCATGACGGGTGGGAAGACTTGTAGAATCAAGAAGATGAAATTCATTGCAGCACAGCTGTATGGAAGTAGATAGGCATTGGGAATAGCTGTACAGTAGGTTTTACTTTGTTTTAAAAAATAGGGCTCACTTTAATTATTTGACAGATAAACATGAATTTACATCAAAAGAAGCCACTCGAATGCTTTTTGTGACTTAACTTTGGTTGATGTAGCTCCAAGATGCAACAAGAGATACAGATGAACTGCATTTGGGATTGTCTAGCTTTGAGAAATATGTTCTGTTGGAAATGAATTTCTTCTGTGACTTGAATGAAGAAAAGAAATAGAGATTTCTGAGAAAAGGAAGAAAACAAGAAAAAAAATCCAGCTAAGAAATGGGAAAGCGTTGGAAAAAAGCAAAATGCCTTTAGAAATAACTACTCTGAATCAACATCATATAAATTCCTGCTTCTGCCAGCTGCCCACTCACTTTCTTTTTTAATAGAAAGAATCATCTTGGGTCTGAAACAAGTAGTATGGGAAGGCATGGATTTACTAAGGAAGTGGGTTTCCTGTCGTGGTGTGTTTTACGCTGATGTAGCAATACATTTGATCGCTTTGGGGTATATATAACAGATCAGAATGGTAGAAACAGCCTTTTCTTTTTTCATGGATGCTCCTCCACTATAGAATTGAAGCTTCAGTAATAGCTTTATTATTTCCTTTCTGAATGCACCACTAATGACACTTAGCTCTTAAGGAACTCTTTTACGTTCATGTAGTCTCACAATGCTTCTGTGAGGGATGCAGTAATATCCTCTATGTGTTTGCTTAGGTGACTAAAATCAAAGAAGTGTTTTACTGACATCTGTTATTTCTGTTCTCTCTTTTTAGCTGGTGTTGCCAGAGTACTCTATCCATAGTCTTTTCTGCATAATGTTTTTGTGCGCTCAAGAGTGGCTCACTCTGGGGTTAAATGTCCCTTTGCTTTTTTATCACTTCTGGAGGTAAGCCCATCTTTTATATGCTGACTGCTTGTTAGCCTTATTTTCCAACTCAGCACACAGGCAGTTTGTATGAACTATGAAGCACACTAATAGGAGTATGGCTGAATATCTTTTGCCTATAAGCAGCTGAAACTTATGTTTCCAGAGAAAAAGTAAATACCTTTCATGAACATTTAGGATGCATAAAGAAAACATGTAATAATATAGATGTGTTTATAGTCACTGAGGGGCTTTTAGGGTTGGTCACGTAAGACCAGCTTTAGGGTTTCCCAGACAGTGCAGCTGCTGCACCTTCCTCCTCATCGCAGTGGAGGATCAGCCTTCTGTGGGCTCTGAAGACAAGCAAGAGACAGCAGATTTTGTGGTTGTCAGTCTGGAGTCTTCACTAGTTTCGCATTTCCATAGTGTTTGTAAAAGCACAGATGATTTTTGTCTCTCAGGGTCTCTTTGTGTTACAAATATACATATGGAGGCAGATAGCTCCTGTTGTGAAGTAGCTTGAAGGATAATTCTGTAAAGAAGGCAAAATTATTATCTCAACCAGTAACTAAAAAGTAGTAACTTTTTTACCCAACCTAAGTAAAAACCCTTTTTTTACCTAACCTAATAGTTACCTAGTAACTATTTTCTGCCAAAGCTTGGTATTAACATAGTGTCATATGATAAACTATATTATTCAGAAGTTAGAGTGCCAGTATAGTTCTCAGAAAGCTGAATGGAGTGAAGCTACAAGTGTGTTTCTCCCTGTTGGTTGGGTGCAATAAAAATATTTTACGGTGCTGTTTTACTAAGGGTTAACAACCAAAGCATGACACTAATGCTGGTTTTAAAAAGTTGTTAAAAAAGCTAAAAGTTGTATTTTATGACCAAGGTGAAAATGGTTAGCCTCTAAATAATGATAACAACCTTTGGAGAGAATTTTTGATTGTGTTTGTTTCCATGGTTCTCCATATGCTTTGCTCTAATTACTGTGTCATTTCTGCTCATTTAACCACAAACAGGTTTGTGTTCATTGTGTGAAGTTCTGCACAAAACTACAGGAAGATACTGTGTAATGTCTTAATTCCAATGGAGATAATTAAGCCAGGTTTCACCTGTAGTCTCTGTAAAAGGATTTGTAATGTTATTAGAGATTGTAAGTTGATGTGACTAATATCGGAAGGGAGGAAGGCAAAGTTATTATGAAAACATTTACTTTCAAAGTTTGCTGCTGGTCACTTCTTCAGGGATTTTATATCTATCTGTCTGTCTATCTATAAGCAATTCCAGCAATCTTCAGTGGTGGTGTTACTATTTCAAAGCAACAGAAATAACAGTATTTCATCTGATTTGTGCTGATCTTACAGCAGTTCATTAACTTTGATGATGATTTCTTTTTTGGTTTGCTTTTGCTTTTTACTGCAAGTAACTGAGACAAAAGCTCCTTTGCCAAAAAAAGTTCTTTTGTCAGGATACTCTCAAACATCCGGTCATTGCCAAGAGGAAATGGAAATTTCTCCTATGTAAGAAGAAAAACATTTGCCAATTAAAATTATATGGGTGATAAATTTTTGAGCAGTGCTATATATAGAAAACATTAACCAGCCAGCTCTTATATTACTCCATATTGACTTTTCAGAGTTGAAAGAACTGAGCTATCAGTTGGTTGAGACTGTCACCTTTCATCACCTCTGAAATCAGTTCTGTAGACGCAGTTAAATCCCAGTAATTCTTCCCCCATGCTGTGATCACAAGCTGCTGCATATTGTCACTCACAATATGGAAGTTATTAGTGAGTAAGCCAGAAAAAACTATATAGGAAGGGAGAGTGTTTCAATCTAAGAATTAATAGAACACAGAAAGCCCATATTCATGAATTGCTTAGTGCTATAAGAATGACCTGCTTAGACTAGTGTCCTGATTTTAATGTCTGAAAATAAAGGTTTGAAAAAGAGAGGAAAATTCCTTCTATATCATGGGAGATGGGTTTATTTCTGAGCTGATGATCAGGAGGGTGTATATCTGCACATATTTAGTACAGAATGTTACAGAGTCTTTGCAGATGTCTTCTCCTGCTCTTTCAGGTATTTCCGTTGCCCAGCAGATAGTTCAGAGCTAGCATATGATCCACCTGCAGTCATGAATGCAGATACCTTGAGTTACTGTCAGAAAGAGGCCTGGTGTAAGCTAGCTTTCTATCTCCTTTCCTTCTTCTACTATCTGTACTGGTAAGTCTTGTCATTTCACTAAGTAGTAGCTGCTTTTCATTTGATGTGTGAAGTTGTATTTAGAAATGACTGGAACCAACTGGCTTGTTTCCTTAGTCTTACGAAACTTGCTTCTCATCTCGATTCGGGGAAGCATGCCCACTTACAGCAGCGTGTACTTATATCTGCTGACACCTTAGTACAGATTATTAAGCAGCCAGCCCAAGGAGAAAATGTTTGCTCCTCTGCATAGTCTCTTAGAATGGATGAAATAGCAAATGTTATGATAATGGCATTACAGCAAATAAAAATTATAATGTACAGGTTTAGGATTAAATTATATTCTGTGCTATAATAGCTGATATTCTTCTTATGATTCAAGAGAATCATAAGAAGAATATTACAGCTGCCAATGTAGTGATGCTCAAGATGGTAAGTAAGTGGGTGGGTAGATGATGGGCAGGAACGTGGGGTGCACCACACCTGTAGTCATTCCTACAACCTCCCTTTTATGACAGCGTAAGCCTGTGTGTAGTTCAAACCCCTAATTTAAGTACAAGATTGAAGATAGGCACCCCGGTTGTGTGTTGTCCTCCCTGCCCCTTTTAGCTGTCAGGTGTCCTTAGTGCACAGTCAGAAATGCACAGTACAAGAACACGTGAGGATCATATTGAAGGTAAGGCCTTGGCAGAATCCAAGGTACTTTTAGTCACCCCTGTACATAAAACTACTTGACAATATAGGTTAAAAAACTTTAAATTGAGGTGGTGTTTTATGATATCTTTCTTCTACTCCTTCCGTAATGTATCTGCATGTAGTGCCTCTTCAAGCCAGTCCTGCATGCACTACTCCCTCTTGTATGCTAGTGGAAGAAGATGAATGTTATTTTTCCTTTGATCACCAGTCTATTATCTGTTCTGTTGTTCCCCATCTCTTGAACATTGTTGCAGGCTGATGTTTCTCAATATTACTTTTAAATACTATTGACAACAAAGTTTCTGTCCATATATGTGCCTGTATCTGCATACATGAGAGGGAGTAAGAAAGTTGAAGGCTCCAGACCGCCAGAAGCTGCTCAGTGCCTAACTCAGAGATGGATGGGGCATGAGAAAATAAGCAGGAGTTTAGAATTCGGTAGCTTCTTTATTTATTAATACTATTAACAAAATAGTATTAATTGCATTCACTTTTGCTGTGGTTTCTTGGGTATTGTCAGAATTAGAATTGCTGCAAAATGGACTCGTGGCAATATACTGTGATTTCTTTGCTTTCCAGAGTTGCATTTGATATTTACGGATTCACTCCAGCTGGTGCCTGCATTTTGTCTTTTTTCTGTTGCATGGAGTTTCTCCTGAGGGAAACAAAATAATGCAGTTTCAGGGGAGGAATTGCCTGCCCTGCTGAGAGTTGCTAGTTGAAGTTTTAAAGATCAAACACACTAAAGCAAAATGGTTTTGTTTCTTCCCTGTTCAAATTCAGACATCAGGCTGAACTTTAATAAGCTCAAACACAGCTTGTGGTGCAGTAGGATGTCGATAATGAATTTGTTATTTCTTGAGTGCTTTTTGATACCCATCTTGAATACACCGTAATTAAGATGCTTTAGAGAGATGGAAAAAATGCAAAGGAAAGCACAGACCATTACAGTCAGACCTGAGGAACAGACAGTAAAGGGTTATAAAAATCAAAGTGCTCTGTATGCTTCAAAAGAATACTTTCATATTGTGTCTTTCTTTTACATTCAGCATGATCTACACTTTGGTGAGCTCTTAACTGAAAGATCATCATTAAAGACTGAAAACAACAAAGGCTGGAGGTGTAAGGATGGGTGAGCCAAGTGATACGTGATTAAAAAAAGAAGTAAAGAGATGAAAACTTTGAACCCAAGAAGTAAGTAGAGTACGTGAAAAAGAGACCCAGCAAGAAGCAGCAGAATACCGTTGGAGAAAGGCTGAGTAAACTGTTTATCTCCTTTTTCTCAGCCTGGTGCAGTAAATTACTTTCAAAACCCAAATAAAGCAAAAAAAAAATGCAACAAGGTGGGCCAAGTTACAGAACTATTAACTTCTTGAGGGATAATACTGCTTGGTTAAGTGGACTCATTATAAACTGTAGCCCGTACTGTCTTCCAGGGAGCAAAGCTTCTTTTCTTAATGACAGTTCTGGACTGAGGAAGCAGAGGGCAAGATCGTCTTACAGATATACAATACAGTCTGGATGAGCACCAGCTGGAGTTCAGATAAAACATGGGACTGTTCTGCAGGGATATTCACATGACACTAATCAAACAGGGATGTTGGATCTTGTAGAATTGCTTTGGTGATTTTTCCCCACCCATAACAACAATAACAAAATAATTTGCAGTTGCTGTTTTCTAATGACATGTAGGTGAACAGCCAGTATGTTTCTGTACTTCATTTGTGATGCACCGGTAACATACAGTGATATGTATAAATACTTCAGGCTCTTCCTAATCGTGCCAAGCACTTATCAGAACAATGTTCCTCTGACTGCAAAAAAGAGATAAAACCTACATGTATTAAGGTGGATTGTAACAGAGGTGTTATATTCATCACAATGCTGGATAACAAAATACTGGACCAGCTAATGGTGGTCTGTAATTCTGTTTTGCAGCTTTATTTCTGCTGTCAAATTTGAGCTGAAATGAATGCACAAAATGTTTTTGTCTTGTATGAGGTTCGTATTGAAAGTAGTTCAGGTTTTTTATAATTTAAACATTTTTAAATTTTATCATACAATTCACATTTAAATTCATCTATATGGGCTGTGTATATATATATATATATATATGAATATACAAATACAAATGTACATAAACACTCACAATCTAGTTATATTTTAGCTTAATCTGTTTGATTGACAGGTCAAAGGCATCAAGTGTCCAGAACTGCTGCTAAATACATTTCAGCGCTGAACCTAGTGGAGCAGGGCTGGTTCCCTCAAAGTCACTAAGGTATTTGCGTGTGGTCACTGGTGCTCTGGGGTGGTAGACAAGCCTGTAAGATCAAGACTAACACTAGTCCATGCACAGAGGCCCCTTGGGTCTTGCATTGTGAATGAGCTAGGAGGAGATCTTGCTACTGGGTCTTGTTAGCAGTAGCTCATTGCTGACCCTGCCAGATTTGGTCTAGCTTTTGGGGGCCAAGAGATTCTTCCTTTACCAAACTCAGAGGCTTTTTTTAGTCTGGGCACAGGACTTGATGTGATACCACATTCAGCGCTGGCTCTCTGCCAACATACTTGTTTTAGAGCACAGTGCAGAAGCAATGGCTGAATTGGAGACATCTCATGTCTGGCAATGTCCAGTTGGAGCCGAGGTGACTTCATGTGTCCAATCTGGCATGGGCTGGACTGCCAGCAGGTCAACTGCTTGCCTGCATGGCTGAGCAGAAGCTCTGTGAGGTTTTTGTAACTGGCATTACACCTAATTCTTGACTTTACACAAATGGCGCTTATATATGTAGATCTTCTGAATGTAGCATCAGGTGACTTCAAGGAAATAATACTTGAATGGATGTGCCAGGTCACTTGAAACATGCTCTTTGTTTCAGACCAGTTCATCACTATACTTATCAAATTCCACTTGAAGGCAGAACAGTTTGTTTGATCCCACTACTGCTATAAGCAAGTGTTTCTGGGATCTCACTGCTCTGGTGCTAGAAAGTTTTTCTGCATTTCCAGATGCTCTGGTGCTAGAAAGTTTTTCTGCATTTTCAGAGTAAACTTATTCTTGGATAATTTATTCCACTTGCTTTTGAGCCAACATTAACCTAAATACACCTTATCTCGTGATGTTTAAGACCCTGATATGCATAGAGAGCAGTCCTTTCCAGCTTCCCTTCTGTTTGAAATGAACCATCTCTTTTTCCATCCTCCCACAGAAAAGCTCTCCGTTCTCCATGTCTTTAAAGGATTTCTCTGTTGTCTTTCCAGTCAAATTAATCTTTCTTAAAAGTGGATGATCACAGCTGTTCAGAGTATTCTGGAGAGTATTTTGCCCTAACTACTCCTTACTATGAATGGACAATGAAAGTTAACCACCTGAGTTCTTTCCAGTAATCCTTATTCAAAAACACTAATCCCAGCAATCTCAATAGCATTTTGTTTCTCTTCAAGAAAAATCTTAATTTAAAGTCAATGGAAAAATTGTTTATAATGAGGTTACTTTCCCTTTCATTGAATTGTTTAATATGAGGATACTTTTCCTTTCATTGAATTCCCTTTCATTGAATCTGACAGCAGAGCAAGATACAGCAAGGGAAGTAAAGAAATGCATAGCTGTTGATGAAGAACAGAAAAAATGCTGTGATTTCTGGTCACAAGGCAGTCTCTTCCCCATGTCACACTTTTAAGGGAGAAATAATCTATGCTATCCCTTTTGTCTGCAAGGGTTGTTTGGTTGGTTGAGGCTAGAGATTTCCTCCCCAAGCCTGCTCCCTTCCTGTCTCTTTTGCTGAAAGGTTAAATGCCATTACTTAGGATCAGCAGTTTCCTTCTCTCATGTGCTCTGGTGATACAGATTAAATCCCACAAAAATCACAAGAAAATATGTCATCTCTTTCTGCTGCTTCAAACAGGTGTGCAATGAATGCACACTTAAATGACTATTCATTTTCCTCATTTGCACCATCTGTAAAATCAGAATGGTGATAGCTTGTGACATTTTTCCATACATATAATACTTTTTTGTTTTGTTTTGTTTTTCATGACTGTTGAATCTGCTTAATGGAAAAAGGTAGGGGATGGCAAAAAGTGTGAGGGTGAGGCCTGAATGAGCTGCCCATTTCTGGAAGTGATGCAAAGGCAGCCCTGTTGGCAAGGTGTTGCTCTGTGCTTCTGCCCCTCCTATTTATAGCCAAGTAATTGCAGCGATGCTGAGTAAAATTGTTGCTGCTCTGACTGTTTCAGTTTCAAATACAGCAAATCAATGCTGATAGCAGAATGCTTCGCCTACAAATAATTAACTACACTTAAGCTGTCAGAAATGTTTTTCCATCTGTTTCCTTGGGCCATACTCTTCCTTTTGTACTAAGACACTGGAAGTGGAAGAAAAAGTTCTTCAGCCTACATCTTCTTACAGGAATGGCACTGAGGTGGTTCTGATCTGGCCCTGCTGTTGAGGTCATGATTACTCATACGTTAGTATGGCTGTTAGCAATCTATTGCTTTTCCTTTCTCCATTCTGTCTCCACACAGGTATTTTTGTAAAAAAAAAAAATAAATAATCTTACAGGGCATGGTCCAAAATTTCTGAATTTACCATGGGTCTTCTGTTGATTCCAACAGACTTCAGTTAAAGTTCATTACTCTAGAGCTACAAGGGAAATAGTTTCACACTGGAAAGGCCCTAGAGTTTTGCTGGATGAGATCCCGTCCTTTCAATCTTGATATCACATCCATTTAACTGTATTATGTTAATTGAAGAGGAACATGCATTTCAGAGGGATAAGTATAACATTTCAGTACTTATGCCAGACTGTTAAAGAAATTTATACCAACTTGGTAAAATCTGACTTCATGGAAATTAATGGAAATCTTGCCTCTTATGTGGTATGAGCCTTGGTTATCATTGTACAATTTCCACCAAGAGGTCAATGGAAATTAAAAACAGAAAAAAACCCCAAAAGCAGTAAGTTTAGTTAATCAAGAATGTTATTGGATGTTACATAATGCTTGGATTGCTACAAGTAGAACTGGAGAGAAAAAGCTTGAAATAAAGCAAGGTTTTTTTATTTGGGATGCAACAAATCCTAGACTGCCATTGATGCTGCACTGAACTTTGCATTGGTGATCTGAATCCATACTCCTGCTCTGGTGAGTTTTTTTAATCATTCATTGCTCATGAATGCATTACTCTGATTTGTTTTTGTTCTGTACAGTAATGCAGTTGTAGGTGGGAAGGAGGGTAAAAGCTGCTCCAAAGCAGAGCATTCCCTTTTTTTTTTTTTCTTCCCAGGTAACCTATGAACATGCTGTAACAAAATTCTAATGATGTATTTCAGTGGTACACCTCAACCTAAGAATGAAGCTGTTTGCTGAGGATAATATTCTGCTGCAAGTTAATAAACCACAGTTCTAGAAATATTTTTAAGTGCTTACACAGTTAAAGTTGTTATTTTCTTGCATTTAAATTCTGGCCAATTTCACATGTAAGAGAAAATACACTTCTGTGGTACAATTCCAAGACTTTCACTGGGTAGTGAAACTCTCAGTAAAGCTCTGAGGGCTCTAAAGTGCTTTTAAATTTTATTTTTATTTTTTTTAATAACGAGACCCTATGTTTAGGTCATATATTGTGGAAATGGAGTGAAGAGTTAAAAAGCCAAAGTCTCTTTTTTAGTCCAAAGCTTGAATATTGCTCCTTTTTTCCCCCATGAAGTATCCCTGATATCACCACTCTCTTGCAGATGTGAAGGAATCTGACTGTCCCTCTATTCTGACAGTTCCAGTCTTGTTAAACAGATTTGCAAGCCCTGACCATTAGCCTGAAATACTGACTGGGAAACTTACCTCCTACAAACCACACCAAGATTTATGGAAATGTCTTAAGGAACACAGCAGTCTTATGGAATAGCTCTCACCTGTGCATAGGAGTATAGAGTACCGAGCAAGTAATAGTACAAGTAATGTATAGCACAAGTCATATAGTACAAGGAAACCAGAATTTCTGCTCCATCTATAATGCATTTTTTGTAATACCGTATTTTTTTGTTGGTGTAAAAAGCAACATAAATTACAAGACAGTAGACTATCAGACTGTGGCAGTTATCAGGAATGCAAAGTTTGACCATAGTTGTTTCTCAACATTTGAAATTGCTGTTTCTGACAGAGTTATTGACAGCTCAGAGTTACTGGAGGTGCAAAGTGTAACGTTAATAGCAGCTTTAGCAATACATACATTTGCTTCTTTTGGAATAAGAATCTATGTTTCATTCTAAAACATATTTAAGACCTTTTCAGACCTTACCTGACTCTCAATATATAGCAAATTTAAATGTATTACAAAAAAACCCAAATGAAATGCAAATACAAAATATAGCAAACATGGCAGATTCTTTAGCAAATTTCTAGAGAGCCTTGTTATTCAAAGGTAATTTCTAGGTTTGATGTCATTTATTGCGGATCTCTAGACTGTTGAAGCCCACTTCGGTGCTGCCATTGTCAACAGCAAGAGTCCTGCAAGAACATGAGCAAACACAAGCTTGGTTATGTCTTCCCAACTGCCCAGAAACATCTCGTCATGTAGCCACATTTACTGGAGAGCAGACGACATCCATTTTGTCACTTTGAATCACTTGACCTTGCAGAAGGTAAGAACATCACAGTACAAAATTCTTAGCCCTTTGCAGCCGATGATGTTGACGTACCTTGTCTTTACGAGCACACATCAATCTCCAGGTTGAAAAAAAACCATCAGACGAGCAATTTTCACTGTTCTTGAGCTTCAGCTTTTACTGGTTTGGGGTGGGACTTTTTTGTCTGAAAGGAAGATTTATTCTTCTGCCTAATGACCAGTATCACTACATTGGTTTTGGAAGCCTTCCTCCCAACCTCCCATTTATTGGGTGCATTTTAGTATACTAAATCCATGTCTTTGAAATGGGTTTTCCACTTTGTTCTGAAATGTCTGGAGGTGGCTACTGTCAGAGATAGGAGCTAAAGCCAGATGGACCCTTGCTGTGTTTGTTCAAGGACTCAGACTCTGTTCTCAAATGACCATAAATTCAGCACATCCACTGAATTAGAAACTGTATTTGAAATTATTAAGTTCTTTACCCTGAGGATAAAAATTTCAAAATATCCTAAATGATTTTGCAGTGTAAGTCTAATTTGGATGTTTACTTATTAGAGCTGAGGATCCTAAGAACCTCTTGAATGTGAGATGAAACACTTGTCCACATACCGCGACTTCAGTATGCAGGAGAAAGGGGTAAGAATTTGCCCCATAGTAGCTATTTCTCACGAGGCGCTTCTGTTTGCACTTGTAAAGCTCAAGTCTGCAGTTTCACAGGTAGTTTGCTTGGGAAGCGCCCACAGAGATCATTAATGTGATATAGCAAATGTATTCTTCAGTCCTTTGTTTCTCTTTAGATTCACTTTCCCTACAGGTTAATCCTTAGACTCCTAAATACGTTAGACACTTCAAAATATTATTTGAATGTAATCCACTCGCTTCTGTTAGCTGAATGGTACATCCTCTAAACAGCTAAACAGAAAGGATATAAAAATAAGGCAAAGCCAGATAACCCCTCTTTAGAATTGAAGGTCTCATGGTTGAGTTATTGGAGCTGAGAAAATGAGAGTTCAGTTCTTGCCCGTTATGCAGCCTTCCTTTGTCACTTGGGGCAGGCACTTAATCTCTCAGCTCACCAGCTCCTAACTGGAGGTGATGGCACTTCCTTTCTCCCTCATTTTCTCTGTCTTGTCACTTCAGATGATGAACCTTTGTGAGATGGAGCTGTTTCTGAGTAATGACTGGCACTGCATAGCTGAAACTGGGAATTACACATCTAGATGGTATTATAATCATAAATAATTGATACTTTCTCTCATGGGAGGAAGCAACTGAATTCAGTGGAATTAGTCAAAATGCATTTGTTCCACTGTCGCCAGGATGGGTACCTGACCTGTTGTGTTCCTGTGCCTTAGGGCCTGCTGACAAACTTAAGTA